CTCATTTTTGGTACAAAATTGAACATTCATCACTCATTTTTGGTACAAAAATTGAACATTCATCGCTCATTTTTGGTACAAAAATCGAACATTCACCGCTCATTTTTGGTACAAAAATCGAACATTTACCGCTCATTTTTGGTACAAAAATCGAAAATTCATCGCTCATTTTTGGTACAAAAATCGAACATTCACCGCTCATTTTTGGTACAAAAATCGAACATTTACCGCTCATTTTTAGTACAAAACTTGAACATTTTTTGCCCGTTTTTGGTACAAAACTTCGCCACTTTTTGCCCGTTTTTGGGTGAAAATCCGGCGGATTCGGGGTCGCGCCCCTAGAGCAGCGTGCAGCGCTCGGGGCGGGTCCCGCCAGGATTTGGGGACACCGAGGGGGTCGCGACAGGATTTGGCGATATTGGGAATGTCGTGACAGGATTTGGGGACACCGAGGGGGTCGCGACAGGATTTGGGGACACCGAGGGAGTCGCGAGAGGATTTGGGGACACTCTGGATGTCGTGACATGATTTGGGGACACCCTGGATTTCCCGACAGGATTTGGGGACATTGGGGATGTCCCGACAGGATTTGGGGATATTGGGGATGTCCCGACAGGATTTGGGGACACCGAGGGGGTCGCGGCAGGATTTGGCGATATTGGGAATGTCGTGACAGGATTTGGGGACACTCTGGATGTCGTGACAGGATTTGGGGACACTCTGGATATCCCGCCAGGATTTGGGGATATTGGGGATGTCCCGCCAGAACTCGGGGACACTCTGGATGTCCCGCCAGAACTCGGGGACACTCTGGATGTCGTGACAGAATTTGGGGACACCCTGGATGTCCCGCCAGAACTCGGGGACACCCTGGATGTTGTGACAGGATTTGGGGACATTGGGGATGTCCCGCCAGAACTCGGGGACACTCTGGATGTCGTGACAGAATTTGGGGACACTCCGCATATCCCGCCAGAACTCGGGGACACTCTGGATGTTGTGACAGGATTTGGGGACACTCTGGATGTTGTGACAGGATTTGGGGACACCGCGCTGCTCCCGCCAGAACTCGGGGACACTCCGCATGTCCCGCCAGAACTCGGGGACACCGCGCTGCTCCCGCCAGAACTCGGGGACACCCTGGATGTCCCGCCAGGATTTGAGGACACCGCGCTGCTCCCGCCAGAACTCGGGGACACCCTGGATGTCCCGCCAGGATTTGGGGACACCGCGCTGCTCCCGCCAGAACTCGGGGACA